AAAAAAAAAAAAAAAAGAAAGAAAGAAAGAAAGGAATTCTAAAGGCGTTATGATAACATTCATCAGACAGTGGAGAGTGGTGAAACCAACACAGTGAAATCACCACTGGCTCTTGGACCTTATACAGTTTCTTTCTGACCATTTTTCATCCCTAGTTTTCTTTCTTTTTAATTTTATATTTTATTTTATCTTATTTTATTTATTTTTTTATTATTTGAGATGGAGTCTCACTCTGTCACCCAAGGCTGAAGTGCAGTAGGGCAGTCTCAGCTCGCTGCAACCTCTGTCTCCTGGGTTCGAGCAATTCTCCTGTCTCAGCCTCCCAAGTACCTGGGATTATGGCTGTGCACCACCATGCCTGGCTAATTTTTTAATTTTAGTAGAGACGGGGTTTCACCATGTTGGCCAGGCTCGTCTCAAACGCCGGACCTCAAGTGATCCACCTGCCTCAGCCTCCCAAAGTGCTGGAATTACAGGCATGAGCCACCAGGCCCAGCCTTCATTCTAGTTTTCTTATCTGTGAAGAGGGGACACTAATACCTGTTTTCTCTGCCTCACAGGATGATTGTGAGGGCTAAGTTAATAGATGGTAATGTCTCAGGCATTGTTTGTCATATTCTTCCACATAAATCATCTTACTTAATCCTCACAACTGCCCTGGGAGGCAGGTGGTCTTATTCCCATTTTATAGATGGGGAAACTAAAGTCTTTCAAGATTGCAGTGTATTGAAAGGGCAGGCAAGTTCCAGAGCCAGGTTCCAAATCCAGGTCTCCTAATTCAAACTCTGCTTACTCTACAATTGTTTCTCCATTTCTTAAACTCTGAAATGTTAGGAAAATGATTTCTTGGCCATTGGTCATAGAAGGTAGGTGAGAAGACAGTCAAAGATGGCTGTCCACTGACTGTTTCTTCCCTCACCTAGGGACATGGCTTCTCAGAGACTGATTTGATTTAGAAAACAGGAGACCTGCATGTCTCTCCTTATATGGAAACATTAAGTGTATATGGATATTATTTTTCTTTTTTTATTTTTTTTAAAAGACGGGGTTTCACCATGTTAGTAAGGTTGGTCTTGAACTCCTGACCTCAGGTGATCCGCCCGGCGTGGCCTCCAAAGTGCTTGGATTACAGGTGTGAGCCACCACGCCCGGCCTTAAGTGTAATATATTTAACCACTCTCCTGTTGGTGGGCATTTAGGCTTTCTTGATCTTTTACTTTTAACCAGTCCGCAGTATGTGTCATAACTGAGGGCTCTCAGCAGTGCTGGAGGGATGTCCTTGGGTAGGGGAGAAGGACTGGGATCTGGTGTACCAATGGAGGAACTGTCTGTACTGGTGTCACAGGTGCTCTGGCATGTACCAGGAGTAACAAAGAGGACAAGGCCTGGATGCTAGTGGGTGGGTACGTGTGGTGGGAGCTTGTGGACTTTCTTTCATGATTGCCTCTATTTTGTTACTAAAATCGAAAATAAGGTCATTGCTAAAATGGTGAAAGGGAAAACCAATTTTTTTGAGATAAAGTCTTACTTGGTCACCCAGGTTGGTGTGCAGTGGTATGATCGATCACAGTTCACTGCAGCCTCGACCTCCTGGGCTCAGGTGATCCTTCCACCTTAGCCTCCTAAGTAGCTGAGACTACAGGCACATGCCACCATGCTGAGCTAAAATTTTTGTCATTTTGTAGTGATAGGGTTTTGCCATGTTGCCCAGTCTGGTCTCCAACTCCTGGGTTCAAGCAGTCCACTCACCTCAGCCTCCCAAAGTGGTGTAGGTGTGAGCCACTGCACCCAGCTGGGAAAATCATTTTGACGGCTGAACTGTCAAAAGGGAAGTATTGTCTAAAAGAATGGGAAAGTGAGTAGAGACTATGGAGATGTAGTTGATTGCTGAGCACTCAAGATCAGAGATCATGAAATTAAAAGACCAGTTGACAGGTTTGTGTGTTTCTCCAGCTGTGTTCAGCCATGAGTACTGGTGTAATTGGAGAGTTGAATTTAGCCAATGCTGGGGTTTAGCCAAGTGAGTTTTGTTCCTCTTTCCACATAGATTGGCTTATTTAAGATTTAGTGTGGCCGGGCGCGGTGGCTCAAGCCTGTAATCCCAGCACTTTGGGAGGCCGAGGCGGGTGGATCACGAGGTCAGGAGATCGAGACCATCCTGGTCAACATGGTGAA